CAGCGTAAATTCGTCCTTTAAAGTTTTTTTTCGTTTTTTTTTTGATTCACCTTTGTGAACACATCATTGTGATGTATCGGTCAATTAAATTGAACTTTTTGAAGTTAATTGTTAATTAGGTAAATAAATGAATAAATAAATCTCGCCCATGTTCACCAAGAGTTGAGGACCTTCTTTATCCAAACAATTCCTAATTACTGCTCAGGTGGCACTAATCCAAGCGTCGTTTGCGAAGAAACAACCTTTCAGCATGAGGAACAATCAGTACTCAGATTTCTTCTGAATAAATTGAAGCATTTTCATATTTGGGAGGAAAAACTTCCCTGAACATTTTCATTAAAAGACAATCCACTGAATCTCGACCACTTCTATGTGAATCCTACGAGCTTTCGATGTTTTGATTCTCAATGTAGATGAAGTGTTGAAAAGTTATATCATAGAAAAGTCAAGAATGACAGGGTTTCTATTTCTAATTTGATTCAGTTTTTTCGTGTATTTATTCACTGTTTTTCTCGTTAAAACAGAGCATCGTGCCTACACAGTTCACAGAGCAAAAATGAAAATATTGTAAAAACAGAACAAAAAAATCAACTGCAAATTGAGCATAAAAATAAGGCAATAATTTTGGATCCCGCATCGTTAAGGCACGAGTCGCAGGATTTGAATTGATGCGTTATTTTGTTCGAACATTAGAAAGGGGGCGCAATGAGGAACATTAGTGAGGAGAAAAAGCAAAAAGCACCATAGAAAACTCTAAATTCCCCTTAGGAGGCCGGCCGTAGTACGACGGAGAGACACAGCGCTGCGAGGAGAGTGAGAACGCGAGATAGTACGTCATACGTGAGAGTCGCAGAGGCCACGTATGCTGTGGTGGATTATGCTGGCAGCGCGGGCAGCGCGGCGAGCAAGGCCTTAGCGCCATTACCGCGCGCACTTTTGGGGTCACGGACAGGCTGTCGTCGTATCTTACCATTTAGTGCGGTTGGGCGAGCCCACTATGATCACGCTTGTAAAGAATTCTTGATGGTTGCTAATCCTAGACTCGGGTTGTAAAAATTTGAAAACCCTTGCATTATAATAATATGTAGAAGTATCTCGGTTTCTGTAAACTCTCCCTCTTGTCCGTAAACAAATCACAATTTTTTTATTCAAGAATGCAAGGTCCTATGGGCAGCCTCGACAACGAGCTGCGAAAGGAGCTCGAGCAGGCATTGGTGGACGAGATTGCCAAAAACCTCGGTGACACAATTGACCAAATGGGAACCAGCAATATTGAAGACGAAGACCTCGGAAAGCTCATTGGTGAGGCTTTACCTCTTCCAATACTTTCGCCTTTCAATGACAGCTAATGATCGGAACCTGCAAATTTCTATACTTCCTTAAGCACTTGCTTTTCAGGAAGAAGGCTTCAGCGAGATTGAGAAGGAGAGTTGGCCTCAAGTTCCACAACTTCCACTTCTACGACCACAACCACCACTAAGCCCAGCACATCTTCGAGAAGGGTAACGTCGCCAACAACTACAAGAAAGACGCCTACGACTGCAGTGGATAGAAATGATGGAAGAATCACCGTTTGACAGGGTGAGCCGATCAGAATTCATTCATTTTAAGAATAAGAAAGGTTACCATAGTAATTCATTATCATAGCATATGCTGGGGACTCGCGAGAGGACTACAATGCACTGATGTTACGCTCGAGAAGTTATTACGTTCATGTGGCTTAAAGGACGAATTCACGATGAAAAAGCAAACCCATTTCAAATTAACCTAGGGATGGTGAGTGGTACACGAAAGAAGGAAGAACCATGAGAAACGGCCCAGAACCCGAGAAATGGTACCCCTTCCTTGCCCGTTGATTCGAGCATTGATGCGCTGTGCCCTCTTCAAAAACTACGCTCTCTCAGCTATCTAATCACTCGCCACGTATTGAACTACGGCGAGTGATCAGATGATCGGTGGGCGGAGATCGCCGGACCCGCCAGCTTTGAGGCATGATAGGTCGCCGAGGTCAAATTTTTCCATGCGAATTGCGCGTCAGTTCGCACCCTCAGGAGGTCCGTGGGTCCCTCAACTAGGTCAGTTTCCCTTTCTTCGACCTTCATTCTAATCGTGAATTCCTCCTTTAAAGGACGGCCGATGATTTCAATGAAAAGCAGGCCATTGAAAATAAACTAGAGATGGTAAGTGAAGAAAGAAAAAAATAACGAGAAAACGGCCTAGAACCCGAAAAACTCTACACTGTTGGGACTCTTATTGACGCTGCCCTTCGACGTTAGCGCTCTCTCTGCTGGCTAGAGGCTCAGACACCCAGAGGGGAGCGGACAGCGCCGATAGCGGGCCAATAGCTGCGAGAAAGGCCACGCTAGATCGCTGGCGAAGGTATATCCTTCCAATCTTCCGAATGCGCGTCGGTCCGCACCCTTAGAAAGTTTGCCTGTCTCTCCACTATGTAAGTTTCCCCTTCTTCAACCTTCGTTCTTATCACGAATCCTCCTTTAACATTAGTACTACCATTAGAAACGCCCGAAGCCAAGAGGAATACGGAAAAGGAAGAAGAAGTTGAGCTAGTAGGTAGGGCGAACTTGAAAAGGATGAGTCATGTCATTATTTGTACATATTCACCACGGCAAACAAGCAGAAGCAGTAGGATTTGATATGAACCACGAACTCAGAGAGTAGGGGGGAAGGTAAGTGGAGGGGGAGAGGAGGAAACGAGAAGGCGAAGAGAACAAAAAGCTAAAGAAGTAGACTTTTTAGGTAGACAGGAATTTCAGTTGCCAATAGCAAAAACCGACCATGCGCTAAAGCAGCACAAGGGCTTTAGTTTTGATAAACGATTCTCCCAGCATGTTTCCTCAAATCAGAGTGAACAATAATACATCAAGCGAAGCCGAACTCATTTGATGAAATGAGCGATTTGGTTCACAATCGCGCGCATCCCAGAGCTCGCAAGATTGTGACCCAAAATCCACTCGTAATATCCCTTTTTTCAAGAACAATTTCCATTCAAAAATGAATTTTTCAGACTCCACTACCACCATCCCATAGAGAGCCAACAACCAAAACAACACCTCGTCCTCGAACAACGTCAACTACTCCTCCGACCACCACTACGTTCCGGACAACTGCCACAACTCGAAAATCGTCAGTTGAATGGCGGATGACGACAACTTCTCCAAGGACCACATCGACGACCCGTCAAGTCACCACAGCACCAACAGCAAAGAACTACTCCTTGGTGGATGTTCACTACTCCTTCGACAACCGCTACATCTCGTCCAACAGTGAGGACGACTCGTCCAACCACTACTGAGCCATGGTGGATGTCAACAAGTATTGGAAACTTCTCCGTGGTGGATGTTTACTTCTTCTCCAGCGGTTACCACAACCCGCCCGACGACTACTACACTAGGCGGCCGGACTACCCCATGGTGGATGACGAGAACTCCTCCCACGGTTACCACAACTCGTCCATCTGTTACTACCACTCGGCCTACATCTACTGCACCATGGTGGATATCGAGTTCTTCTCCAACGGTTACGACATCTCGTCCAACAATACGCACAACTCTTCCAACCACAAGCACAACTCCTTCTACCACAAGCACAACCCGTCCAACGACTACTGTACCATGGTGGATGTCCAAAACTCCTCTTATTGCTACCAAAACTGTCCCAACGGTTGCTACACCTGAGAAGTGGACCACCCCCTGGTGGATGACGACTATCCCACCTACAGTCAGCACAACTCATCCTACGACCATCAGAACTCGCCCATCAACCACAACCACTCCATCGACAACTACGATCAGCTCAACAACCACCACGCCTCGTCCAGCGACCACAACAACTCGTCCAACGACCGCCACGACTCGCGCAACTACCACTACAAGTCGTGTAACAACTGCAGCTATTGTAACTACTCAGCCTATTCTGGCCACAGAGCCCTCTACCCTTGAGGCCACTGAACGCACGACAACTCTTCCACACTGGAGACCGCCCACAACTACACCTGCCACGACTCGTTCCACTGTTGTCTTTACGACGACTTCTGCCCCGGAACGTTGGAGGACAACAGAGGTCACCTTCAGGACGGTCCCGCTACAGAAAGAGGTCAGAAATTTGTACTAGTTGATACCTATAGCCCTAGAAACTCTCTGGGAATGAAAGATATCTGCCACTGTTCATTGCTTTTAGGCCACCACCAAAGCCGTCGTTATCCCTGTAACAGGTAAGAATTACCTAACTATGGGTGTAGACCTTTTTCCTGACACAACCGGGAAAGGTCTTTATAACTGAAAAATTCCAGAGGTGAGCATGACACGTGTCCCTCCCGCGGTGACCACCACGAAGCCTTCAACCTTCGCTGAGCAGAACATGATACATCGCCAGCCGCAGTTTGGCTTCCCACCAACAAGATGGCCGGGGCAAGCCGTTCCTACCGGCGAAAAAGGCGCGGAAGCGACGCAGTGGCGAGAAGGAGAGCCGAGGATCGTCTCCAGCCGACCAGTGCATGTCGTCTCATTAGATGGTAGGTGCTTCAGTCTTAAAACTTAGATCGACTACATTTTATCCTTACAACTGGTGTATTAATTAGCCTTTCTCGAGAGGTAAGCTCGTGGACTCTTGAGACCCACTTAGGAGTGCACTCAGTGATCGGATTTGGTCCACTGAACCAGCTCCGCCCCCTTAAAAAAGTTTTTCTAAACATTTTCTTGGGTCTTCTCTCTGAAACCGCAAAAAAGACATAGGGGTGATAGGACTTGCGAACGCGAGCTACCAGCAACCGTACGCCCTAGGGTTATCTGCGTCCGCATGCTTCCGCCTCTGCTCGTCTCGTTACCCCTATCCACACTTGTCGTGTCTTTCACCTCATCTTGCCTATTATTTCAGGGGTACCCCCAGAGGCCCGTTCGCGCGAGCAGAACGGCAGAGTCAGCGGACGAGTTGCAGCGCGCAGTGTGCGATGTAGAACGCGTAGTGGACACTCTATTTAACTTGACGCGAAATCTGTATAGTACGCGCGCGACTCGTCCAGCTGGCTTTGCCTTCTTGCCGCGCGACGGGCCTCCTGGGGGGTACCATATTATTTTAGACGGTTTATCCCACACAATCGCCTAAAAAGTTATTTGGGGCTCATTTGGAGCGTTCCAATGAACTTCCTTCCCTTTTCTCGGCTGGGAATTTGATGAACGCCTTTGATTTTGTATTTGGACCCCATAATTACCCTACTTTTGCAGTCGCAAAGTGTGCCTTCAAGTGTCAGCTGCTAGCCTCTAGACTGTTGTTCATAGGAACAGTTTTTGAAAAAGGAGACGTTATTTAGGGGAAGCTGAGACTACCACTAGGCCGACCACAAGCCGCGGAACAACCATGGGAAGGCGGAAAACCACAACACTTCCAACCACTACGGTACGTTCACTTGAAACGCTCATTTGCACCAATGGATTTAACGGAAGTCCTGTTAAACTTCGCTGAGGCCACCTAATGTGGCGCGGCATTTACGGAACGTCACATGAAGCTCCCTATAAATTGCACTTTTGCAGACTGAAGCACCTCACACCACAATATTCGAAGAATCTGCGTTCGGCACTGGCACAGCCGTACTTACGACTGCACCAAGCACTGCACCACCTCTCACAAGTACCGTAACCTCATCAACAACTCCATCAAGTACAACTCTCACTAAGGAATGGCCCTTAGAAGCCACCACTACAAAGGCGTACGCAGGAGAAGCTACAGAATTCCCAGCAATGCCAGAGGGACCAGAAGAGGAGGAGGAGCCTGAAGAAGGCAAGGGTCGTGTGGTAATGAAGGAGCGGCCATCTACTTTCGGTGACCAGAACATGGCTAAGCCAGAATTCGAAACTGGCGTGCTTGAGAAAGGCCTGGCTGCGCCCACTGAACGGCCTGAACCTGCTCCAGTAGCACCTGAATGGGAGCCTGGAAAGGTGTTGACAACAACTGAAGTACCACCTTTTGAAGTGAGTCCAGGAATGTTCGGAGAGTCGACGCGTCCCACGGTGGCCCACCGCGAACCGTCATGGAGCAGCGAATATGGAGAACAAATGGTAGTCGGTAGAGATATTTATTTCTCAAATACATAGAGAAAAAAGAACATATAAAAATAAGGCACTATTGCACTATTACAACCCTGGTGGGAGTGAGATGGGTCAAAAAAATTTTCGCTGAA